GTGTCCCAATTTGTTTTGATAAGAGAAATTCCATCTTGAAATCATAGTTCAATAAAATTGTAGCCCAGTGCTCTAGCCTGTTTGAAGTATGTGTGAGAATCCTTTTCTTAGAACCAAATATACTTAATAATCGACAATTATCAGTTTGCACTATGAATTTTCTTCCTAATATCATCCTGTGAAATTTCTTTACAGCAAAAATGAAAGAAAGTGCTTGCTTTTCAATTTGACTAGCATTCTTCCATATTTGTCAAACTTCTTGAAATGTGGGTGGCTGCTTTTACTGTACTATCTTTGAATTTATAGCTTATCGTCAACCAATTCCATTTCATACCCTTCTTAACTCAATTTATTCAGAGGTGCTCGCAATTTGTATATATCTGGTACATGAACATTATAATAATTTGTAAATCTGAGAAATGATTGTAGGGTCACCAAATTTGCTGAGGGAGGCTTGTCTTTAATGGCACTTGCTCTAGTGGGAGCTAGTCTTCTTTTTTTTTTTCTTGATTATCTGACTTAAATATTTAACCTTATCCATAAAGGATCGAAAGTTGTGCTCACTAAGTTTGAAATTATAATCATGCAGTCTCTGAAATACTTGCTGAATCAGTTTTACGTGCTGTATTTTCTTAGCGCTCTTAATATGTATATCATCTATGTAAGTAACGGCACAGTCTAGTCCAGCTAAAATCATATTCATTATTTGCTGGAAAACACCTGGGGCTACTCTTACACCAAAGGATGATGTTCTAAACTTGTAGACTCCTTTATATGTATTAATAGTCAAGTACTTCTGGCATTCCTTATTCACTTCGATTTGAAGACATAGCTGAGACAGGTCAAATTTTGAAAAAAAATTTACCACCATTTAATTTGGCAAATATATCCTTTGGGGTTGGTAGGGGATATGCATGTGGTAGGAGGCAGTCATTCAATCTAATTAAAAATCTGCATATAATCGAATCTTGTTATTTTTCTTTCTAATATAAACCACTAATGTAGCCCATTCTGAATAATCTATTTTTTTTCGATAACACTTCAGTTTAATAATCTATCCAGTTTGATGTTAATAAACTCCAACACAGCAAAGGGTATCTTTCTTTTAGGCTTAAAAACTGGTATCACATTTTCTTTTAATTTGAAAAATGCCTTTGACTTTGTATATTTTCTGAACTTCTCTGTGAAAATATTCATAAATTTATTTTTTATAGTTTACTCATTGTTTTTTTTTTAGCTGTAATCTTTTCCTTTGACGAACAATTATTTTTTAGCCAATTCTATAGTTCCAATAATTCTAGCCAATCAATGACTAGTAAATTTGTGTTGGAATTTTTTTTAATATGTAAACATCTGCTTTTTTAGCTTTTATCCACAAGAGTGATGTTACACATAATTGTCCCAAGAAAAATTAATTTCTTTCCCGATATTCCTCTTGCTACTTTTTTTTTTTTTTTTTTTTTTTTTTTTTTTAAGTTGGGCTTGCTGATTTTGTTCCAAGTTTGTTCATCAATAGTTGTAATATTGTTACCAGTGTGCAATTAAAATCTCACTGTAGCATTATTCATTTTTACTGTCACAAATTTTCTATTATTTGAACTTTGAAGTTTTTTAGCTGGTAGTAATACTTTCAGCAAGTTAATTTGTGTATTTCTTTTGCTTTTTGACTTGCTTTCACTTTGTTTGTAACCTGTTTTTCCACAATTGAAACATACTTTGGTTTTAAATGGACAGTCCTTTCTGAAATGAAGTATACCACAGCCATAGTATTGGTTAAGTTTGGCAATATTTTTATTTCGGATTTTTTTTTCTTGAGACTGCTGTCCCTTTTTTTTTTAACTACTTGTACTTCTGACATGCCATTTTGTTCAATTTTCACTGTATCATGCCTTAAATTGACAATTTTTTGGCACTCTTCCACAAGTCTATCGTTAACTTTGAATCCTGTTTAAGTTTTGTAAGGATTCAAGAGTGTATTTCTGCATCGTTGCTTGATGTTAGACCTTTAACGAAGATTAGACATTTAAATCTACCTGGGGGATAGTTTATCCAGTTTAAATTTCTCACACTCACAGTTGACTTTACCGGCATATGTGACAAAATCTTCATCTTAATAAGGTTCATGCACTGCTAACATGTATTTAAAAAGAAAAAGTGAATTCTTTACACTAGAAATTTTTGATAATATTGACAGTTTCATTAATTGACACTTTTTCTGGTGTATTCAGCAAAATGAAATTTAGATATTTTTCATGTTCAATGGGGGTACAATTTTTGTAACGGAAAACATGCTTTCTTTTCATCCAGCCATCCTTGACATTCTTCTCTGAAAAATGGCTTCATCCCTTCTGAAATAGGATAGGTATATAATTAAATTCACTAATTGAGTTAGCGACTGAGTCCAGCAAAAATGAAATTGATGCACTGCTTGTTCCTTGATTTTCCAGGATTGCCTTCAACTGTTCATGATATTTAATCTGCTCCTGCTGCATTTGTTGTACTAGTTGCTGAATAATTATCTTCAATTCTTCCATAGTGTATTATTTTCATACAAGTAGTTCTTAAAAGTGTAGTTTTTTTTTTGTTTTTCCTAATAGTAGTAAGTCATACACTTTTGGAATTTATCCAATTGGAGTAAACCACCCTCATTCACTTAATATTCCATTAGTGAGATATAAGTTCCACTTGAGCAACTTCTTCCCACAAACCAGTTTTGTGGAACCCACTCCCAAGAGGGTGCTTCCCTGATCACTACAGTCTGTTCAAGTGGCAAGACTGCCATACCAACTCTTCTATACAGGCCAGCCACATAGACTCCCCTCCTAATGCTGTCATAGGGGGCAGTAGTCTAAAGGCAATTTTTTTTTTTTTTTTTTACAATAATGTTTACCCTGTGAGAGGTAGGGTTACAGAGTAAGATGTAGAGTTTATGGAGATATATGGGGAAGATTTTTTTTTCTTCCTCACTCCACCCTCCCTCTGTGTGTGTGTGTGTGTGTGTGTGTGTGTGTGTGTGTGTGTGTGTGTATATATATATATGTGTGAGAGAGAGAGAAAATCTCAAGTGATTTACCAAAAAAAAAAAAAAGGAATTTGCTAAGTGTTTGGGCTAAGCTTTTCTTCCTACATATTATCCCATGCAAACAAGGCATAGTGAGCAATGTTCATCTCCATTTTGAATGATATAGGAGTTTTTCCATTTAAGCAATTTCTTAGTTGTACAAAGCTTTAGTACAACACAAAGAAGCTGTTGAAAATTACTAGTGAAAAAACAAAATGGTGGTGTGAGTCCTAAGTGGCCAGCATTTTGATCAACTCTTATCAAACAGAATCATTAAAAAGATTAAATAATAAAACAAAATTACCAATAAAAACTATGTGAAATAGTCTAAAAAGAATCTTTATCTAGTCATCTCGTAAAATAAAAACAAAAAACACACAAGCTAACTTAAGTAACACCAGGTAGTTTTAGGGAATCTCTTTGCTTACAAGAAAATGACTGTTGCCTAAAAATGAAAGGATGATAACACTTAGAATTTTGAAATGGCCAGTTGAGAAAGTCTTACTACAGACAGAATTTTGAATTCTTGTGTGTTTTAAGGTAGTCCATATGTTCTAGGTCACTGTGAATCTACAGTCCTGATGTTATTATAAATTTCAATTGTAAGGATTTCAGCTTTTAAAAGTTGCAACAGTCATTTCTGATATTTAATCTCATGGCAAGAAGTTAAGTTGATCCAATTTTTCAGAATTTGGTGTGGTCATTGAAAATATCAATCATTTTCACCCCTTTTATTATTAAATATCTCACATTGTGATAATATAAGGTCTGCAAAGAAAGGTGAAAGGTTGTAGGAACATAGATGCCATTTTACTGTGGATGATCTCGCAATTAAAACACTTTCTATTCACTTTTGTCTTGCTAAGTTGCTTTCTCTTAATTAAAGTAGCATTTTATTTATTTATTATTTTGTTTTGTATTAAGTATTGTTTTAGAAGTAGTTGTAAGAAATTTTATGTTGAGTCTAGATAATTTTTTTTTTTTTTTTTTTTTTTTTGTTGCAATTGTGATAGTTGGTAGGTAGAATAATATATTTTAATCTGTTGGTTTTGCCAGGAGAGTCTGTTCCTCTATTTTTAAGTATTTTACAAGCCAAACTAACCATGGAATTTCTATGTGCCCAGATAGTCAATATCCTAAATTTTTTACTCAATGAAAATAAAGCTATTTCTTTTTGTATATAATTCCCTTTAAAATTTTGCAAAACATTTTTAAATGAAAAATTAGAATGCTTTCAATAGAACTGATGACATAATTTACAAATGAGTTGTTCATCTATGGAGAGATGAACTTGCTAGTCATGTATTAATGACACATTGTTGCCTAAATTTTTCTTTCTTTTTTTCTTTGATACCTTCAGGCATGTTTTAATTACTTGCATATACCAGCCAATTAACCTGCATAACCATTTCTAAACTTACAAGACCGGAAAGCATACCAAAATCATCTTAATTTCTAGGCAAGAAAAATGACATATCTTGTGTCCAAATGAAACTGTTATTCATGTCATATTCTTTAGATCAAAAATGCTTTTGACAATTGCTTCAATAACTTGTTTTTTTGTTCATGTAAACAATATTAAAGAAAATGTAAGGTAGCCTACTTTATCTGAATTGTTGGTATAAGGTTGACTTTTATTAAACCTGGCTAGTGATTACTTAAGTCCATTTATGAAAAGAATCTTGTCTATTTTTCTCTTTATACATAGTTCCATTTAGCTTATTTTCCTTTCAATACCATGGAAAAGCAGCTTTCAACAGGGAATTTGTATTATTGACTTATTTTATAAATTCTGCTATTATTTCTTTGAAATGTTTCCATTTTTCTGTTTCTTAGGGTTTCACTGCATCTATCTTTATCCCCCCCCTTTTTTTTCTTTTTTCTTTTTAACTCTATACAGTCACTTGTTTAACAACATTTGTAAATTTGTTAATTTCAGGTTTAATTACCGTTCTACTCATTATATGGTTAATAATGGGTTTTACAATTTTCTGAATTGGTTTGATGACCGGGCATGGTACCCATTGGGCAGGATTGTTGGTGGGACTGTGAGTATATAATTGTTTTATTACACTCCTCCTTGTAAAAACAATTTTGTTTTAGGAATTCTGAATCCCTTTATTGACGCAATTCAAAATGACATTGATGTTATGATATTGTAAATGCTTAGAAGAAAACCACTTATTTGTTCAGAGATCCCCACCCCACCACTTCATAATATTTGACTACATTAATCTGTTTTAATGTCCACAATACTTTTTTTTTTTTTTTTTTTTTTCCACATGTATCACTGTAAACAAATGAGAGAATCTAAAAACCTATCAGATTAACTATTTGCTCCTTAAATATCTGTAGCTTTCATTTGTATTTTTTCTTGTCTCAAGTGCAAATAAATGATTATCAAATTCTTTCTCTGTGTCCATTGGAACCTTTGTATCCACGATTTTGGTTACTTTACTTGGAATTAATGGTTTTCCACAATTTTCATTGCAAGAATATATTTCTATTAGGGAATCTTGATTAAGCAACACTTTGTTTATTGTTACATATGATAATTGTAACAAAGGAAAAAAAATGATTTACCACAACACAGCTAAATCACAAACGAATATTTAATTTACTAAAACACAACATAAAATATATACAAGATAAACAATTGTGGCTTACAAAACAGAAAACACAGAGTTACTGGCAAAGTGTTACAAGGGAGGAGGAAGGAGAGTCAAATATCTTTTATCACTTTAGGGCTAGCGAAGTAATCTAAGTACTATATTTGGAAATCCACAAAGGTGTGTAAATAAATATTAATTTTTAGTTTGGTCAATGAAAATTAGTCAAGATTCTATTTACCAAATTTGTTCCATGAAATTCTCTTTTGGGTTTTTGTTGGTTGGCAACTTTTTATAGAGATTCTTTCGGCTGGATATAATAATCGTCAAATCAAAAGCTGGAGTTGATAACAGCAAAAATTCCCCTTCAACAACTGACAACCCTTTTCCAAAATCCCATTTTTATAGGGGCTAACACCTAATTTGCATATTTCTAGATGTTTCTCAAATATACTGGAATGATCTAGAATCTTCCAAATGTTCTATTTCAAATTTCTCTATTTTATATCTACTTCATGAAAGAAAACTTTTTTTGTATTAACAGGTAGGACTCAGTAGAATCCCTTACTATAAATTTTAACCTTATTGAGACTTTATTATAGAAATGCATCCTCGTAACACTATGAAATAGATTTTGCAGTACTTGATTGCTTCTGTGTTGTACATTTTATAAGTGCATAATGTTAAGTAAAATGTAGTCCTTTGATCTACTGTTACAATGTCTCTCTCTCTCTCTCTCTCTCTCTCTCTCTCTCTCTCTCTCTATTAAGTGATAGGATGATTAATCGGAACTTTGGGGGTATTGGAATTGGCACCAAAATCTGAGAATTTTTAACCTAATTTCCAATTCCAAAAAGTAAGAATTATAGTGAAAAGATACAGAAAAAATAACAACTTTTTTTAAAAGTCACTCATTTTCTTTTTTCTTTAATCATGAGAAACACCAGCTTAGGGAAAAAGTACTATGATTCATTATTTAAGTATACACACAAATACACATACATGCATTTCTTTCATTTTTGAATCTGATGAAGCCTTGGATGGCAAAAGACTTAAATCTAGTTTCAATGAAACGTTTTTCATTTGTCAAATTTCTTAAAAACTTTGCCAGGATTCTGTATCCTATTTTAAAAACATTTATATAATCATCACCAGATGAGGTCACTGTTTGTGTATGAAAACCACTCTTTAGGAAGCTTGTAACATTGAAACAAATTAATTAAAGCAGATGAGAAAAATCATGAAGAGGGATTAGATTGAGCAGGGAAGGGATGATAGAATCAAGCATCTTAACAAACCCCCAACTCATAAATAAATAGGAGAAACAGAACCAACAAAATTTGAACATATGCTGCATTTAATCAGTCCCGCTAACTAAAAGTTACCCAATCTCTTTCCAACTTGCTTGGCATGGACATGATTAATGATTTCTTAGATAAAATGTAAGTTGGTCAACCTAAATAAAGTCTTCATTTCATGCTATTCTGTTAATTCTATATTGAATTATAGGAAATTAGATTTATGGTCTTTGGCCACTTGTTAGCATTAGGGATATCTGGTTTTCAGACAATGAAAGAATCTTGGGTACTTGAGATTGAATAACAAGAAACTAGTTGTACATTTGTGTCAAGGGTAAAGGCATATTGTCTATTTAAGGAACATGCATGAAGTGATAAGAGAAGGTTAATTGCTATAAAGGTCTATGTCATGTAGACTATGAACAGGCACAATCACTATAGTAAGGTATCTCTTAGAAAATTAAAAATATTTGTCTATATTTCTGAGATAAGGTGTTGTAGCTATTTACATTATTCAGACTGTTTTCCTTATTTTTGTCATATTTGCAATGTTTTGGCTTCAAAATTTCATACATGTCCCCAAGGATATATGGCCCAGTGGATAAAAGCGTTGGTTGAAGTCGTCTCATGAGTTGTGAGTTCAATACCTGGCCACAGCGGAAGTGAACAAAAACTTGAAGAGTTGAGTTACTAAAACTGAGATATCCAGGAAAGACAGAAAAGTACTAGAATGATCTACAACAGTTTACAAAAGCGGTAGACGAAATAAAGGGTTTGGTTTGAAAGGCCGAAACACGAATATGACGATAAAGATGAGGAAAACAGTCTGAACAATGTATAGTGTTAAAAAAAAAATAGCTGTTGACCGCTAAACAAGGTGGTCAATTGGTGTCATTATTGATTGTGTATGTAAATTGAAGATATTCCATTTCAGTTAAAGACTCCTTTACACCATAGCACAAATCCACAAACACATCAGACTAGACTATTTAACAATAGTTTAGTCTGTACACAGTCACATTGGCAACTTATGCTAAAAAAAATAAAAAAGAAAGAAAAAATAATGAGTCTTAGTCCGGTTTTGTAGTCATGATATATTTTTGTTTAATGACTTTTGTCTTTAAAAATGTTGGTAAATCCTTTTGTTATCAAGCAACAAAAAGAAACTCTTGTTCATTTGTCAAAGAGCAATGTAATGCTGTATGCTATACAACTCTTGGCAGTCTAAACTGACATCACGTTTTAGCTTTCAGTGATTCACTTATTTTTACTATCATTGAAATAAATTTAGTTGTTTTATTTCTATTTTTTTAAACGTGAAATTTTAATATTTGACACAATATGAAATATACCAGGATCTACAAAGTAGGTTGGTTAAGCTGGGCTAGTAGTGTTTTGTTTTTTTTTTTTTTTTTTTTTTTTTTGTGTTGCTAACTGAAGGTACCATATGATGGAATAATGGTTAGAATGTTGATTTTGCCAATCTTTACAACTGGCTAATAAGTTTAATCCTCATATACATCTGCAGTAGGTTTGAATTTAAGCTAAACTTGATAAATATCTAAAAAAGGGAAAAGAAATAATCTACAATGTTACAAGGTGATGGTTTCAAAGTTGACTTTTTTCTTCTTTTTTTTTTTTTTTTTAGTTACTGAGAATGTTATTACCTTTTCGGATTAGAAAACATTATCACACAAACTTTCTACTTATTGTGTCAATTATAATGTAAATTGTTACCATAGTCATAAACTTGCTATAAAGTATTTTATGACAGCATTGCTGAAACTTTTATGATAACATTAGTGAATCTTCATTTCTTTCAAAAAAGAACACTTCTTTTTAGTTAACATGGGGAAAATAGATTGCTGAGACTTTTTTTTTTAAATGGAAATTAAAAAAGTTATTTTCACTAAAATAAAAATCATTTCAGTTGTAAAATTTCTATCTTTTTAGCAATAATAAAACTACTGTTGAAACCATTCTTAAGTGATTTTGTATGACCAAGTTTTTTATTTATTTTTTTGTTTTACTCCAAAGCAAGGCAATAAAGCCACTAAGACTTGAGGAGTTACTGAGTGTTAGCGATTATGAGAAAAATATAATATTAAGGGGAGAGGACAATAAAAGAACAAGAATTAAGACAGTAGCTAATGATTGACATTGCATTTAAATTTTTGAAGATCAAAAGTTGACTGGGAAGCAAGAAGCTGGAAGAGAGTTCTACAAACAAGAAATGTGATAGAAGAAACTGTTAGCATAGAACTTACGGTTACATCTCTTGCCATTTAAACTGTAAAATGATGAGAACTTGCCACCAATCTAGTACAGTGCTTAAATTCATGAAGTCTAGGTAGCATAGAGGAAAATTCATCAGGACAATTATCATGAAAATATTTATAGGAAAGGTACAGGGAAAGCTACGTTATGGCAGTGGGAAAAAGTGACTGAAGCTGGGATACCAGGTCAGGACCAATATTAGTTTGAAGGATTTAGTATTGAGGGTCCTGTTCTGTTTGTATTTTTTATCTTATTGTTTAAAAGGCATAAGATAAATAAGCCTCTTCATGAAATATGCATCCCAGTGTATAAAACTGAAATCTGAATCTTCTAATTCATATCTGATTAAAGTGTTGTTATATATAAGTTAAATCAATAATAGTCTGAACTAGCCACACTATTCAGACAATTTTGCAAGCTAAAAGTGCTCAAAGTAATTAAAAATGTGCTTAAATTACAAACCCAAATAAAATATTAAATGATAAGACAGGTCTGTGCATGAACAAAATCAATTTTTTTATTTTTCCTGTATTGCTTAACATTTCCTATTCTGTATCCATTGCTGGATGTGATAACAATTAAATATTGTTTAAAATTGCATAATCTATAAAACTAGTTGGATTTCTTGATTCCAAATAAAATGCCAGCAAAATCCATATAAATTTCTTTCTTTTGGGGTTCTAATAATTACTGAAGTACTGAATAATTACTGAATTTTCTCTCTATTCTACATTTAAGTAAACAATGTAAATAAAATTGAAATAGGTGGGATTTGCCTGGAGCCAGAACAACAAGTCTGAAATGTTAATTGGTCTAGCTTTTCAGTTAGCTTGTATTTATAGAATGTATGTTGTCTATGCCTAAAACAGATCAAATAACTAAAGAAAATTTCCTTTGAACAATATTCTTGTATTAAAACTCAAAAATCCTGGTTTATACAAGTTTCAAATGATCCAGTCCTACTTGTTAGTTTTATTGTATTAAATTTTTCTCTCTCTCTCTCTCTCTCTCTCTTTAAGGTTTATCCTGGCTTGATGGTAACCTCTGGATCAATCCACTGGGTACTTCACACTCTTAATATCCCTGTACACATCAGAGATATTTGTGTGTTCCTTGCGCCTATATTCAGGTTAGTAATAAATAATTATAAATCAAATGTCAGTGTTTTTAAATTATTTTGTTTGACTGAAATTTAACTTTTGCTGTGATTAATGAACCTTTGAGATAGCAGAAATCTTTGGAACTTCAAAAAATGAGACCATTCCATTAACCTTTTATCACTCTGTATGTGACTTCATTTGCTGTACAAAGAGTTTATCCTGCCAATAAAGTTGACTCTGATCCCTGAATTTAAATTTGTTTGAATTTCAAAGTTGTGTTGTCATATCCTGCTATAGCAACAGAAAACAACTTTGAGTGAAATTAACAAAATTGAGAAGTGTCGAAAAAGTCTGCAGTGGAAGGGGGGGTGTAATATTAAAAATGCAGAGTGCTAAAGGTTAATATTGCAGTGAGAATGTCCTATTTGGAATCTTTCTCAAAATTAATGGTTCTAAAATTAAGGTTTGGTTTTGATGATAGAAATTGATTGATAATTTTTTGTTTTTAAATTAGATATGAAAATTACTTTAAACTTGCCATACAGTCATTTGGTACACTATATTTGTAAAAACATTTACACCTATACTTTTAAAACTTCACTTGAAAATGAAAAATTTCATAATGTTGTTTTAAACCAAGGCAGATAAATTGATGTCTAGTTTTATAAAAGTGTTAATACAAAAATCATTTAAATGTAATTAAAGTGCAATAATAATTTTGATTTATAGAAATCCAGAGCTAAACAGAATTGTCTCAATAAGTCATGTGTGATTTGTTAGTGGATTTTTAAGAAGTAAAGGAAACTGTTTCAGGATGCATTATTACATAATCCAAAAATTGGCATATGATCATAGAAAAACAAAATTCAGTACCATTTCAATTTAAGTAAAAAAATATTTTTTTTTATAACCAATTCCTCACAAGTTGTCACATTCTCACATTGATTTAAAGAAAATAAAGCAAAAAAAAAAAAAAGCCTACTGCATAAACAAAAGCTTCCTTATATTTGATTAAATGACCCTCTCACAATTCAGCTATTTGGCTGGAATTGCATATTCAACAGTAGCCTGTCATTTTTTTAAAAAATTGATATTGAAGTCTAATGTAGCTGTAAAAAAACACATATTGAAACACTGGTGTCCGTACAATCACAAAAGTTAAGCAATGCCAAGCCTGGTCAGTAACTAGATGAGTGACCACTTGGAAATATCAGGTGCTGTAAGCTTGGATGGTGTAATGGATAATTGCTTGGAATTGTTAATTGGAGAACCAAGTTGGGTTTTTTATATTCAATTATGCATAAATACTGTTGGGAAAGGTCCGCCTCTTCTCCTCCAACTACAGGTTAATTAGTAAGACTTGTATCACTAAACCATTATTATCTTTTAAAAAAAAAAAATTCTTAGAATCTAAAAGAAACTTTCTGGCTTTAAATAACCTGCAAAGGTTAGATAAGCTGTAGAAAATAAGTCCATCATGTAAAAGTGGCTTTAAATTGTTAATAGCAAAACCTGTCAAGTTTCAACAAAACTGATGGGTATCAAACATTTTTTAAAAGTCTCATCTGATCAAAATTAGTAATTACTTACATCATCTTAATAACCTATGGAAAATGACTGAGAAAATTATCCCCTAATTTCCATAAAGTTTCTTAATTAGAAATGGTTATGTTGGAGAAATTACATTGATATTGATTTCCTTTTTTATTTTACTTCTTTGGTGTGGAAAATATTTTGCTCCCGTTGTTTCTTAACCTTTTTTCTAGATACAAGGTAAACTTTTTGCATTACCTTCTCTGGAAATTAATTCTCATTGAACCTGGAATTCTTAATGAAGCATTGGAATTAATACCATATGAAAATATTTCTTGTATTCTAACCATACACAACTCTCTTTATACCGGGAGAGTCTGTACTAAGCTAAAACCTAACAAGTATTACAACCTGTAAGCCAGCGTTAATGACTGCAATTCAACCAGATTTTTTTTTTTTTTTAAGTGTGTTTCAGTTTAGTTGCTAATGCATACTAGTTAATCACTAGTGTTTATTTTATTTTTTTAAAATTTTCTGCATTTAAATTACATTTTCACTAAAATAAAAGACTTTTAAAATATTGTCCAAATTAGATCTGCATGCCGTATTTTTCATTCATGTAATTTATCATTTTGCAAAATCGTAACTGCATTTGCTTTCTTCCAATGCTTCCATCTTGGAATCTGATTACTTGCCGATATAAATAGATTTGAATTTAAGGTCAAAAATGAAATTGCAGTAAAAAGCTTTAAAGAAAAATAGCTTCTTTCTTGCAACAGTCTGTTTCCTTTTTGTAATTCCTCTTAGTGTATAATTTAGTATATAATTTGAACTGACTTGGTAAGAAAGTAGTTTGTTTTGTTTTTTAAGTTTATTTGTGCACTTGTCTTGATAATTGCCTGTTTTTCTAAAAGCTCGTCAGATAGAAAATGACTCGTTAAAAGAACACATTCATCAACATGTGTTTTCTTTTGTAAAAAAAAAATAACAAAAAAAACAACCTGTTGCAGTTATTAGTGCTAGGAGAGGGTCTTGTGCCCAATTCTAACATGGCATGGTCTCATTGCAAGTTAACCCAAGATAGAAAATGATTATTCAAAAAGTAAGTTTTTAAACATTAAACAGTGACTAAATGTTCCAAGTATGAATATGAATAGTTGTTGCACCAGGGCTTGAAATTAATGCCCTCCTTTGGACAATAGAACATTGATTTGGAATAACTTTTTTCTTTTTCTTTTTTTTTCTTTTTTCTTTTTTTCTTCTTTTTTTTTCTTCTTTTTTTCTTTTTTTTTTTTTTTTTTTTTTTCTTTTTTTTTTTTTTTTTTTTTTTTTTTCTTTTTTTTTTTTTTTTTTTTTTTTTTTTTTTTTTTTTTTTTTTTTCTTTTTTTTTTTTTCTTTTTTTTTTTTTTTTCTTCTTTTTTCTTCTTTTTTCTTCTTTTTTTTCTTTTTTTTTTTTTTTTTTTTTTCTTTTTTTTCTTCTTTTTTTCTTCTTTTTTTTTTTTTTTCTTTTTTTTTTTTTTTTTTTTTTTCTTTTTTTTTTTTTTTTTTTTTTCTTTTTTTTTAAAAATTTTATTATATTTATTCTAAAAGCAACTAAAAAGAAAAAAGAAAATTCTTACTCCCCACCAATAGTGGTAAGATTTTAATTTATAGAATGCATCCACACACAAAAATAAACAAAACTTTACCGTTTATTTTAAAACTGGTGAATGAATCCTAAATGAAAGTTGAAGGATTTTAATAGATATTTGTATTATTTATCTCTCAATGTGAAAAACTTCAGGATCTAATTGTAAGAACTAATTTTGCTTTAATAAAAGTTTTTTTTTTCCTTATGCTAAATGGAAAATAAAAAAGGTGAAAGTAGAATTTAAAAAATGATAAACACAGAAAATTTACTCACAACACAAGGCAGGTGATTGTAAAAGCAGGACTCCTTGGAGAATTTAAATCATCAGTTTTTTTTTTTTTTTTTTTTTTTTTTTTTTTTGTTCCTGTAAAACAGGACACCCAGTTACTGAAAATCTGCTCTGTAAAATAAAAAATGCAATGAAAGTATGACCTTATTTAATTAGAAAAGCTTTTAATTGCTTTTATAAATTAGATTTATTAAGGAAACTATTGTCTTAAGAAAAAAATTTTCCAATGAATAATAAATTTTTATAATTGTTTGCTTTTTTTTTTGCTTTTTTTTTTTTTATTATAAAAATTTGATATTATAAATCATTTAAAATTCTGCATTACTTCAACTTATTTTGGTGATATTGTTACTAAGTGAAAACTATATTTACTAATCAAAAATTGAAAAGCTCAGTAAAAGTTGTTTACCCCCCCCCCAACATTTTTTAAAAAATGAATTTTTTTTATGTATATAAAATATTACATAACTTGCTCATGTTTGAAAGTATGGTCAATCATACATGACATTATCAGAAAATAAGAGCAATGACTATAGTAAACTTAAATTCATCATTCCTAAAATTAGATTATGGAGAATATTTTTCAACATTTTTAAAATTATTGAGTACTTAAAAATTCTGGAAAAAAGGTGCTCACATGTTAAAATCTGTCAATACTTTATCAATGCCTGTTAAGTGATCTATGAGTGACGAGTGGCAGGGACAAGCATGTAATCACCACTACTGTTTGTTCTAAAAATCCATTTCTCTATTATTTTAAACTTAAAGTAATTTTTTTTTTTTTTTTAAATCAGATTAATTATACTTTAAATCAGCTAATATTCTTCAAATAAAGTTTCAAAAATGTATATTTTATTTTGGGAAGTTTTTTTAAAACCAAGAATTAACTTTTGTTTACAAAAGTATCAAAAATGACCGATATTTATCAATTTTCTGAAAGCAGCCAAAAAGTTGAGATTCCAATTAATATAATCTCTATTTAAAATACACCAGAAATATTAAATTTAATCATTTAACTTTCAATTAGAGCTAAAATGAAAGCTTCAAGAAGGCTTTCTCATTTTTAAAAAATTCAGGTATTGAAACTAAGTAGAGGTAGCTAATTTACATAGATATACAAAGATGAACCAACAAAATTTTATTTATATCTATCTATATATAAACATACTTGCTATAGTATTCAGACAAAAATGTAAATACATGCACACAGATAAATATTCAAATACATCTATTAAATATATTAAAATATAGTTTTAAGGTATGCTATATGTATGGGTGCTCAATAGCAGAGATAGAGTATATGTAAAATATAAAAGTGGACATTGAGGTCAACACCCAGCAGCGATAGTCTGTTTCATGTCATGTGAGTTGTTTTGGCTTGATTGTTTATATATGCTGGTCAATGGTGTATTATGGGTAGGTCTATTATTCTAACAGTTATTGAGTGGGTGGTCATAGTTATGTTTCACATTAGAAATAACTGTAGATCCAAATGCAGTTTTGTGGCTATTTTCATGTTGAATTTTTTATTTTTATTTTTTATCTCTTTAATTATTACTTAAGTGAATCATTCTAAGATCTATTTTTCCCATAATATCTCTATTTTGATGTTATAACAACTCAAACATCACTTTGGATAATGATTTTCACTTATTGAGGTATAGAATGCTATCGACCATCTAAATTCTCCCAAAATCAAGAACCATATAAACATGTCAATATGCTATGCATACTAGACATCTTGTATTATGGTTGTCCTGTCAAATTTTTATTCTCCTCATTCACTTGTGCATTATATTTTCAGTGGTCTGACTGCATTGGCTACATATTTTTTCACCAAAGAAATATGGAGTGCAGGTGCTGGTCTATTTGCTGCATGCTTTATTGCAATAGGTAAGGATGTTTTTCTCTTCTTTTTTTTTTATTTCTTTCTTTTTCCCCCCCTCCTTCATTTCTTCTTAATGCCTAAATGAGAAGTAATGTCATATTTCCTAGTGAAATCCTCTTGATCACTTATTTGATTTTTATGACTGTACAAGATTCTAAATCACTTTGTCTATATTTGTTCTTTTTTTATCCTTAGCTAGTAAGGAATGCCATCTTGTTTAAAGATACTTTTTCATTCATTCACAGTTTCAATGTAACTCCTAAATACTCTATTTGATGACCTATAAGACTAGCTTCTTTTCTCTGATTATTAGATTTTCATGAATCTACAATAAATACATGGAAAGAAAGTTGTTTTTAACCTGAAACAAATCAGAGGTGGGGGAGTTGAAGTTCCAGTAACATTTTTTTTTTTTTTTTTTTTTTTTTTTTTTATATTCCCTGCTGAAATGAGTCAGCCTTGTATTCCATCAAATACAATATTTTTATATTGGTCAGTTTCTCGTTTTTATGAAAACAAAAACAAAAAAAATTTCCTGTCTGTATCGAGTTGGAAGGAATGTTCTCAGTTTTTAGAACATCAAATTTATGTAGAAACTGTGAGAATGTTCCTTCCAACAAGATAAATGTGGAAAATTTTTCCAAAAAGTCTTTAGAAAGTAATTCTTTGGAAGGAATTGGTGACAGTTTTTTGAATTCGGGAAGATGAACTTCTGAAATGTAAAAATGCTAAACAATGAAAAATCTTTTTAAAATGATAGTAATTCGTATCTTGTTCCAAAAAAGCTTTTCATATTGAGCTGATTTAGTACAATGTACATTTTTAGGTTGATTTTAGTCTGAATTTTTGAATTTGGATAATGAAACTGGAAAATAATAATTTTTTTTTTTTTTCTTAAAGAGGGAGGGGCGGGGGGAAGAAGAAAAGTAATATCTGTTCTCATTTAATTTTAAAAGTATTACTCAAAATTCCTTATATACCTTGCTAAAATGTATAGAAGGCCAGGGTAAAAAATATTAATTTTTTTTTTTTTCTCTAGGTATAATATTTTTTTCAGAAGAGATGTTTTCCTGAACACATGTAGAAATCAAAGAGAGAAAGCTGTTATAGAATTTTTGTTTTGGAAAGTAAGAAGTACTGCAGAAGATTACTGAATATTTGTGGAAACAGTGTACTTGATGTAAGCACAGTAAAAGGATTGGTCAGCATTAAGAGCAATCCTATAGAGAAAAGAAACCAAACTTGTTGACAAGCCCTGCAGTAGCAAGGCAGCTACTGATGTGAATTAGGATAAAACCAAACAAGTTGGTGCTCTCCTTATAAAACTCCATGAAAGGCTTCAGATGTGCCTTAGTTGTGCCTTCAGTTTACTGCAGTCTCTTTGCTACTCAAAATAAAAATGAAAAAAAAACATGGAACTCTTTTAGAATATTGTTTTGTCTACTTAAAAGTTTGGGTAAAGTGGATTTTGTGATGGATCAAAAACTTGTTCTATCCGTTAGTGCCCATGGAAGAGGCACTCAAAGAACAGTATTTCTCCAATAATAATGTGAACATGGCTTAGGAAGCAGCCAACAATCTTCTATAAAGTAAGTGTACATGCAATGACTAAATATCCCAGTTGAGAAGATTATGTTGAGGACTAGATTTGGAATCTGAAGACTTTTCTGTTCATTTTGTATTTGTATTCTGCTGTTATTAAATATGTTGTAACTAGAGAAGAACAGGCATTACATTTTGACTTCTAATCTCGGCGATATTAGAATACTTAAAAAGCCTAACATTAATTTTGAACTGAAACAATAACTTTGTAATTATATATTCATGTAGCTAAATATTAATATAGAAAATTAACAAATGCCTTCAAACAAGTCAGAAATATTGAATTTTAGAATTTCAGATATTTTAAAACTAATACAAAAAGCTTTTCAGATTTTGTATAAAGAATGTTAACATGCCTTGAATAAATCAATGTCGACATTATCAATGTCACAATTAGTAGCCTTTGATATTTGCGTTGAAAAGAAATCTTATAACTATTTAAAACAATTTATCTATTGTTCTTTTTGACAAGTTAACATTTTTTTTATATAACTTTGCTTTATATTTTAACTCATGAAGGCATGCTAACATTTTTTTTTTTTTATACAAAATCCAAAAAGTCTTTTCTATAAGTTTAAAAATATCTGAAATTGTAAAGCTCAATATTTCTGATTTGCTTGATAAAGGCATTTAATTTTCTATATTTCCATATGAATATATAATAGTAATTTTCTCGACTTTCTAAGATATGAATTAATTACTTTTCTGTTTGCTGAATTAACAATTTGTAAAGAATAAAATACAAACTGTTTAAACATAATAGCATCAACACATACCATTTGTAGTTTTATGTATAAATGAATTGCTCAGTGTTGTCTTTGAAGATATTTGAATTGCTAATGAACCATTGTAGACTTTTATATAACCTGAATTGGCAGGTTATTTTTCTAGTTCCCACTGTAAAAGCATTTCTACACATGTTTACAACACTCGTAAAATGCTTTTGAACTTAAACATGTCTACAAAGAAAATAAGAATAATTGATAATATCCCACACTATGTTTATGCACTGAATTTAAATTTACATAAGCCTTAAATTTTGTGAACTGTAATTTAAACTGTTTCAGCAAATTTTGGCATTCAATTTTTATCCGCCTACATTAAAGGCTAATTCGGAATCTTTCAAAAAAAATGTTAGTCATCAGTAGTTTTGTGATTTGAATGTTTAAAGTGAATTGCTTTTGGATTTGATTTGTTTAGCGTTGAGAATAGGTTAAATAGCTGAACTGAAACTTGAGGCCACATTTGAGAAATTTGGCTTAACTAAAAAGCAACATTTGAATAAATGTATTTGCTGATTGAGAGATTTAAGATAATTTTATGGTTGCCTCATGAAATTTGATGTTATGTTTATGTTGAGAAAAGGCAATCTAATATCTTAAGCTTATGAAAGTTTTATTTTTCTTCAAGCTGTTCCATAGTACATATGCATACTAATTTAGATAATGGTTTAATGTATTGTACTGAAGAAGAAAACGAGTACCTACTAAAAATCATTTCTTCAGTTCTCGGATATTTTCAGGTTAATCGGTAACTAAATAATTTCTTTTCATCCTGAAACTTCTGTAGTACTATGCATTATTTCCAAATTTCATGAAATATTTGCCCATGTTTTAAAAAAAAATAAATTTTCTCTGTTATCCAAAACAACTTTCATTGCCATCTTCACCACTTTAGATAAGTGAAATATCATCTTAAATACACCTTTGTCAACATATTGAACATTAGTAATATTAATCATGACATTGGCTCATTCCTTTTACTTGTCAGTTTTTCTCTCACAATCTACAAGTAACTTTTGGGTAAGTAGAAAAATTAGTGTTATTTTCATTGTGAAAGGCTGAAACCATTTACTACTTGTCAAGTATACTTCTCTCATATGGAACTCTCTTCCGGCTTCCTGCTTTCCTGTCAACTACATTCTATAAACATTTAAATGCAACATCAATTGTCATCTTCTGTCTCCTTGAATCCTGTTCTTTATATTGACCTTTCTCCTCAGTAATGTTTTTTTTTTTTTTTTTTTTTTCTCAATTTCTATCACTATATTGTTTTTCATTCTGATTAAGCTCTTGCATGGCTTTTATTGGAGGTGGAAAAAAAAACACATAAAATGAATAGGTTGTATTCTCTACAATTTAAAAAAAATAAGTTTTCAGAAATTGATTCTTTTAAAAAAAATGTTTTTATTTTATTCCCCATTTTACTGAATGCTTATTTTGAACAATAAAGCATTTGTTCAAATTACATGTTGTTGGTTGAGCATGTTGATAACATTTATTTAGATTAGAAGTGGCTCTGAAAATACCAAATTTGGAATGTGCTGGTTTATGTCAGCAAGAGAATACATTCCTTGCAATATCATCATCTTCCTATCATTAACTATAATCATCATATTTCTCTTTGTTTTTGTTTTTTGTTGTCAAACAATTAGAAAATTAAGATTTTATTAAAATCTGCATTATGGAGCTTCAGATATTTGTGCTAAAATTGACTTGGTCAAAAATTATTGTTTGGTTCTTTTCTATTTTCCTGCTTATACCGTGTGTTGATTGAGGATTGTTTTGAAGCATAACCAAGTTTTTGTCAGTTAAAAGCACATTTTCTTTTTGATCAAATAAGGGTTTTTTTCCATTTTCAATTCTTATTAGATGTTTGGGAATCAACAATTTGCTGTTAATACTTCTGAACATCACATATAAAACTTAAAGAATCCTCTTTTGTATGTGTGTCTTTGTCTCCCCCCCCCCTTCTGCAAGACAAATCAAAGGTGTGATACAATTGAAACTGTTGGTGCTTTTAGAAAATTGATTTTATTAAAGCCAGGTGAACTGGTTTCCTCCAATCAAGATTAGGGGAACATGCTCTTCTGAAACTCATTTGTAGGACAGTAATAATTATTAAGAATAATAATAATGATGATGATGATGATGAATATGTTGGATAATATTTGAGGAATCTGTTATAAGGTGTGGAAGAATGTATTTTTCATCTAAACTTGTATATAAATTTTATTATATATATATATATATATATATATATGCTTTTTTTTTTTTTTATCAGTTTATTGAAAATTCAAATGATCGTGTTCGTGCCAAAAACATTTGCGATTTTTTAGTGCCATAAAGACTTTATTATTTATTTAAATACACAACAATTTAATTAAATGAAATTAAACATTCAATTTCTTTAACTTAGTTCCAGGTTATATCAGCCGATCAGTTGCAGGTAGTTATGACAATGAAGGAATTGCCATATTTGCTCTGATGTTCACTTACTACACATGGGTAAGTTTGTTTTGCTTTTTGGGGGTTTTTAGTTTGTTGTTTTTTTTTGTTTTTTTTCCCTCTTGAAGACTTTTTTCCCTTTTTAACATAATTATCTGGTCATATCATTCATACCAGCATTTTTCAAACATTTTTTGACACAACCCACAGCAACAAATCACATTTTGCATTGTGACTCATTATACCTATGTGTAATAAATCGGACAAACTCTGTTCACTAGGCTCATTTATTTAGTATTGACAGTTTATATATATACCTCTTATGATCCACACATATTGGAATTGCATGTATCTATTTGTATTATTTGTAGGAATATAAAATTATTATTTTTAGAAAAACAAATTTAAAGGAAATTCCGACACACAGGTAAAAAATTTGAAAAAAATTGTCATTTAATGTCATGGATGTGTTTGTTCATAAGCATCTGATTCCAATTGGCAACACAGGAAGACAATACTACACTCATATCAAGTGCACTGATGAGTCTGTTTCTATCCTTCGTCTTAAATTGAGTTAATGTGAAAAATCCTAGTCTACTCGAGTAAGTAGTTGTAAAAGGCAATAGTAATAAAATAGCCTTTTTACTTAGTAGTGGACATTTCCATTTGTTCTTAACCCAAAATGAACACAAATTTAATTTCTCAAAATCATTCTTAAATGTGAAAGAACAACTAAGATGCAGCAATTCAGCTTCCTCTTCAGTTAACAAGTTTAACTTGATTATTGATTCAGATATTTAAAAAACAAATCTGAACATTGGAGGAAAGATATTTCACCAGGTTATTGTGGCTGCCTTTACTGGAAGTAGGACCTAATGAGGAATCTGAGCAACCCCACTTTTAATCAATTAAAAATTGTTAATCACAATACCAGTCACAGTTTCTGGCACCAACTTGTCATTTGTTTTCCTTGAAGAAAGTAGACAGTTTGTATTTTATGACTACAAATTCTTCTCAATCTTTGATCATGAACTTCTCTAAGAAAGCTTTAAAATCTCTTGTATCCATTCCAGTCATTAACTTCAAATCAAATCTCTCGGCCTTCATCTCATTTTTGTCAGTTTCACTTGTTCTTAGATCATTTTCCCTATCATACCAAACTCTTAGCTATATGGTAAATGAGAGTCTGTGGACCACTTGATCAAAATGATCCTTGACAACTAATGACTGGAAAAATGGCACCATTTCATGGTTAAGAGCTTCATCTGTGAAAACCATTTTCTAACCAGCACATTGTAACGAGATACAGAACTTAATGCTTCATTAAAACTACTCCTAGAATATGTTTCTGGCCAGATGTGGATTTTACTTTTTCCAGACTTGACAGAATGAATATCAAAGACAAACAACCAAAGTCAATGGGTGCAAGAATCTTGACTTGGCAAATATTCAAATTTTATATTTTGTTTAAATAATCCATGTTCTCTGTTTTGCTGGTTCTGAACATTTTTTCCATCGTATTTTCTAAAAATGTTTCTTCTCTCTTTTCATTTCAAGGCCCTTTCTGGTAGCAGTATTTTTCTCAACCCTAATCAAGTGTTTGTAGTATCTTGAATAGTAGAAGGGCCCAACTCCTGAAATTCTATAACTCACTGCATAACTAATACCTGTACTTAATGCTTTTTATGTGAAATTAGGCTCTTCTCCAGTTATAAAACTGGTGCCTTGGTTTTATATAGACCAATATATTAACCAGAATATCAGAAAAATGATGTGTTGGGTCTTTTTGGAAACTCTCTCTCTCTCTCTCTCTCTCTCTCACTCACACACTAATGAAGACTAAAAAATTCTGGTTGGCCAAATAGTCTTCCTCCCTGCCAAAAGTAAAGTCTGGTCCAATGACTTTGATTGGGGGGACTTTCAACAATATCTTCTTCTTTTTATATTAACCTACATTTATTAGATAAAACAATTAGTTAACATTTTTGGGGGCCAAGACCAGGGTTCATTTACATTTATCTCCTAAATAATTTAATGTGTTCGTTTAAGAAAATAATTACTTTTGCAAATGTGGATGCTTTCATAGCTTTGTAAAATTTGAAATAGCACTTCAAAACTTTGTCAAAAGATAAAGTTAAACAATTAAAATATTTTTTTTGTTTTCTTTATAATTGCTTATTCTGTTGATTTATAAAACTTAAACCTTTTTTTTATTTTTTTTTTTATTTCAGATAAAGGCTGTGAAGACTGGAACAGTTTTCTGGGGAGTTTGTACAGCCCTTTCTTATTTTTACATGGTGAGAAATTTTTATTATAGAGATGCAAGAAATGCATCCAAAAAGTTTGTGTAAAAAAAACAAAAAACAAAAAAAAACAACAGTCTCTAGTATAAATCAATTTTTTTGGATAGTACTAAAGGGAAACCTAAAATGTAAGAAACGACATTTGGTGATAAATAATCAGTGTTGGTATTGATCATGTGGTGTATAAAGTTCATGGGTGGTATCCCCATCATTTTTTTACTAGTTTTATTAATATGGAGTCGGTGTCATTATTCAGTCATTAAAGTAATTTCCTTAATTTTTTTTTTTTTTCTATAACCTTCTGTCATCATTTTATTTTCTTGTTAAAAAAAAAAAAAAAAGTGAAATTTTAGGAAAAAAAATTTGTTAGAAACACACACACCAGAAAAAGATTGTTACAGGTAATAGTAATTTGAAAAAGTGTCCTGAGCTTGAGAGCATGCCACATGGTTTCCATTTTGGTTTGGGGGATCATTTCATAGAATAACATTTTCAGTATGAGAACAGCAGTCATCATATGGTAAAATCACTGCCCAAAAGAAAGAAAGAAAAAAACTTCTCTTTCTCTCTCTCTCTCTCGGCCTCATGCAAACGAGCCAATTGCTCATGGTTACAGACTTGTACACTTACAGTTTGTCTAGAGTTCAACAATTCCTAATAAAGAATTCCCTTTGAATTCCACAGACACTCTGTGTTCATAATGTGAGGAGAGGAAGTTCTGCTTGATGTCCTTTTCCTAAGAACTGCCATTTCAGAGAACTCCCATGTGGTTGCTTCCTTGAACATTTCAAGTCAACTGCCAATAATTATCTATCCTCATAATCTTCACTTCCTACCACTTTCTCTTCTGCTCATATCTTCCATCTTATTCAGCATTACCATTTCAACTGTAATCCTCTGCCTTGGTTGGCTTTCAAGCTTTTTATTGGGTGAAATTTAAACAAGAAAAAAACATGCATTCAAAGAAATTCCATTTAGGTTGAGACAGTCCTGCATCTTGATATAATTTTCGCTTGTTTTTGGATTTTTGCAATAAATCCATTGATTATCTCGCATTCCAAAATTGACAAATTCCTTGTGGAATTCATTTTATTTGTAAATTCTTGCTAAGTTTTCTAAACAACTTTGCTATAGCTGACTGATCTCTTTCTTGCAAGTTCATGTGTTGTCTTCTTTTGAGTAAAGATAAATCTTTCTTCAAAAACTTCCTGTTCATCAGTTTTCAAGTCCTAATGCCTTTCAATTATATTCTCTCTTCTTGGGCTCAGATTTTTCAAACTATTCCCAGCATATTTTTGTGCTTGCTGCATCATTACTGTAAATGTCAGTAATCCACTGCCCAACTTCTGTGATATTTCTCAACCCACTAGAGCAGTGGTTCCCAAATGGTACAACGGAAGAGGATAGCAGGTGAAGTGGAATGATTTGAAAGACAATCTATGATTTAGAAACATTTTCAAAAAATTCATATGCCAAAAATAAATATGATTTCAAAATTTAAAATTATGGATTACTTGTAATTGCATGCATGAGTCCCAGTATAAATAATTATTGACTGATTTTATCATTATGATATTTTTTGCATTATATCAAGTATTAAGAATATAGTAACTAGGGTCTGCAAATTGGAGGAGAGAGTTATCAATGATAATGTTCTGACTTCGAATCCGTGGTTATCTCCCTTTAACCCTCTCTCTGTTTTTTTCATTTTTTTTTTTTTAAATTTACTTTTTATCACATAAAGTTTGATGCACAAGCAAATTTTTTCTGAATATGCAGCCCAGAAGAAAAAATGCCTGGGGAACCACTGCTCTTGAGGAAACACAAGGAGTAAATAGTATTAAATACATTTTTTCCCCCAATTCATCTGTGATCCTCCTCTTATTATCCCCCCCCTAAAAAAAACTAACAACTTTTTCAGTAAAAAATTTTTAGAGTATGAGCAAACAAATACAGTTAAATAAACTTCTTACACTTCTGATTTCCCTAACATTAAAGATGAAGAATGTGCAGTGTGATGTAATGGTTATCGTATTGGAATTGATAATCAGAGAGCCGAGTTTAAATTCATTGGGTTTGTTACATTCATTTACATGCAAATACCCTCGGGAAAGGTATGAATCTACTTCTCTCCCTCCCCATCTACAGATTGAATATCAGGTCCCATAAGCTAAGCTGACAACCAGTCTATTGCAGAAAGAAATGGATGCTTACAGCAGGAAATATTCTGTCTCATCACTCATGACTCTAAAGAGACCCGATCATGTATGTCACTTGACTTTGTTAAAGAAGACATTGAACTTTGGCAACAACCTTGCATCAGATCAGGAATTCTATTTGTACACCTTTAAGAGTGCAATTGATAGTTCTGTCAGTAAATTGTTCTTCGGGTATATTGAGTTTGATAGTTGTTTTTCAACTAACCAAACCCCCACCTCCCTGGATGTCTTATGAATTAAATCTTGTTTGACAAGTGCAGACACACACTCGCACAAAAAAATGGGTATTCTTTTTCAATAAGAAATTTTTTTTTTTTTTTTTCTTCCCAAGGGAAATTAAGGTGGTATTACTTGAATTTATGGGTGGAAAATGTCTCTGCTTTTTTCATCTTCTGTTGTGATCTATTTGCAATAGAAATAACCTCTTTGGCATGTGAATTTATTAAACTGATTGAAATATTCATCTTGTCTCTTTCCTTTCAACTAGTCCCACTTTAAATTACTCCAAAATTAAGCTGTTCAAAAAAAAAAAAAAAAAATGAAGCTCAGATACACAGCTTCAGAATTTTGTAAAATTCTCTTAACATATAGTTGATGTCTGGACTGTGTTGTCCCCAGTCCCTTAAAAAGAGTGGGACCCCCTAGAAGAATGTCATTATTGTGGTGGATCTGAATTCTTCTTAAAGTACAATTATTAAACTTATTAGAAGCTTTCAGTTATGGCTCAAAACCATCAAGAAATTGGGGATAAACTCTAGGACAAAAAGATCCTTTTAGCTGTTATCTACTAAGTATAACTTAGTTTTGACACAAGGTCACTTGCATGGGGCACCCAGTGAAGATCAAACTCACTATTAATGATCTACACTTCTAACTTGCTGACTGTTACAACATCATGAGGCACGAAAGATGCTTTCATGTTAATGTCATTGAGAAATTAAAATTTTACACTCATGGAAATTGTTGCCGGCTTCAGGCATTCAGATTGGTGCTGTTATTGTTTCTCTCCTAACTGTATTAGGAACAGCTACTTGGACAATCAAACAAATACTATGTTGCTGCAAAGTTAGTTAAAATTCTTTTTCTTCTATATGCCCTGTGCCTCCAGGACTTTGGCAATCATGGCTCTCCACGTCTTCCTATCTTTTGTAGCTCTAAGTAAAGTTGAGCTTTTCACTGTTCCTTTTCTGCCATCCTTTTACACAAACTTGTTAGGTAAGTTCTTCAGTCTCCCTTGTCTATCCTGTGAGTGCCAAATTCTCCAAATCCCCTCTCCTCATGTTTCCTAGAAATTTCATCTCTTTTTTTTTTCTTTTTCTTTTTTCTGATTCTATATATAAGCTTCATTTTGTTAACATCTTCCTTAAAACTTCCTCATTATTCACATGTTCAGTCAGTTATTCTCAGCATCCTTCTGTAGAGCCACATTTCTGTTGCTTCAAGTCTCTACTTCATCTGTGAGGAGATTGTCCAGCATTCACTGCCACATAGGAGGAATGATATTATCTAGCAGTTCAATACTCTTTTCTTTATTTCTAATGAAATTTTCCTGTTTCTTAATACTTTGCTTAGCATATGGAAGGCAACTTTCATTATTCCAATGCACCTTCAGATTTCAGTATCACATTTTCTATCATCTCTTATAACACTTTTTAGATAGTTTAAATTTCTGTTCTTGCTTTTTCATGTCCCCAATTTGTAGCCCACATTTTGAGCTGTTCCCCCATACATTCTGTCTTCTTAGAATTGATGGGTTGAATTTTTTCATGACTACATTGTGTTCTTGCTGTTTCCTTTCTGTGTCTGCTAACAGTACTGTCATCTACATATCTTCTGTTAAGATTGTATCCACTAATAATAAATTCTGGTAGGACTTTTAGTTCTGAGATATATAATGATAATGAAACTGCCATGTTCTTATAGTCTTATCTCAGTGGTTCCAACAAATCAACCAAGGTATATGAGAATCTTTTGATATCAATTGTTGTATACTTGAAAGAAAATTGTTTTCAACCAAAGTCAAAGAATCTTTTCCTTCTGCAAATCCTACAAAAATCACCGTTTCTATGCAATCATCATAATGATATTTTTTTATTTCTCTCTTTTTGAAGGTGTCAGCCTGGGGAGGTTATGTCTTTATTATCAACTTAATTCCCCTCCATGTCTTTGTTTTATTGCTTATGAGACGCTATTCAAGAAGAATTTATATCGGTAAGTTTGTCTTTAAGATTTTTCACTCTTTTTTTTGTCAGTTTTATTTGCTTATTCCAAATTGTCAAGATGTGTAAGCGATGATGAATCCTTTCAAATCCCTTGCAGAAATTCAATCTTTTCACAAGGACATTATCTTATAAGTTTTCATAAAAAAAAAAAAATTTTCTAAATTTTAAATTCCCAGCATCCCTCATTCATGTGAATGTATAGTTGTACCAACATAACAAATTTCGTCCGATGATGTCCTAAATGACAAAATGCGTCACATGAAAACTTGTTTTTGTTTTGTCGTACATGCTCCCATACCCCCATTAAAGTTTGTTAATTTTGTAATATTTGGAAATAAATGAGTTGGACAATAACAGAAGAATTGTTGAAGAGATTGAAATGATTTTTACAATACTAATCCAAACTGCTTCCTGTTTTGATTTTGAGTATTTGCTGGTCTTGCTTGACATTGGTCATTTATTGACTTCTGAATATTCTGGAACTACAGCCTGTTTTTATCAAAGAAACAATGTGTTTAGCTGCTATTATGACATTACAATATTTGATCAATTTTGATGATTGACAATCATACAGGATGTAAAAAAGATTTAATGAATCAGGATGCTCTTGTATTTTATCAATGGTAATTAAGTTTCTTGTTTTTTTCTTTTCCTTTCTTTCTTTTTTTTTTTTTTTTTTTTCTTGCAGGGGTTTAATTCTACATGTCTCTCACCTATCTTCATACATTTTTACAATGTTAAGTTTGTAAAATTAGTGTAGTTTAGTCTGATAAATGTCCAGAAAAAAATTGAACTGGGAGCATTTGTTCTCTTTGTGGCTATAAATATCTTTATGAAGAGTTATGTAGCAAAGCAAAAACTTCTGTCTAAAATATGAACATATGATAAAAAGATCTTTGTTCAGGCAAAGTTTTCAATTTTTTTTCTTTCTTTTCATATTTAAATGTAAAATGTATAAATCTTTGCAGTTAGAATGCATATCTATCTACTTGACAAACTCTCTCTCTCTTTTTTTTTTTTTTTTTTTTTTTTTTTTTTTTAAATAAAACTTAGTCATAAAGGTGTAATTAATGATTGGTTTCCATTCAAAATGAAAATTTCATAAATTTGGGAAATTATAAAAAAGCATTAAAATCATGTGAAATGGTTAATTTGCTATAAACTGTTATCATTTAAAAGGAAAAATGAACTCATTTTTTCTTTTTTTTCTACTTTCCCTTTTCAGCTTACAGTACATTCTACATTGTTGGTTTATTGTTATCAATGCAAATTCCATTTGTTGGTTTCCAACCAATTCGTACAAGTGAGCACATGGCTGCAGCAGGTTAGTGTTGGAGTTTATTCAAGTCTTTTATGGATAACTCTTTGTTTCTCAATATCAACATGTGAAAATTTCTGGTTTTGGCTGGTTTATGAAATTGTATGTAATTATTGAAATATGAAATCATCATCATAATAGAATGTTTTTGATTTATTAAAATCTAGTTATATGACTTTGTTAATCTCTTGATGAAATTAAAATATGTTTTGAGTAACAATTGCAATTATTGCCTGTGGGTGGGACTTATTTATTTTTTAAACAAACAGTGGGTAAAGTGCATTTTATTTTCAGAGTAAAAGAAAAAAAAGAAAATACTTTTGATAATTTACAGGTATTTAAATTTTATTTTGTCATTAACTTGTGCCACTTTTTTTTTCTTTTTTCTTTTTTATTCTTCTTCTTCCAGGTGTGTTTGCCCTGTTAAATGCCTATGCTGCTCTGCGCTATATTCAGTCTCACCTGACCAAAGCAGAATTTCGTTATTTTTTCATAATTTCTATTGTTGCTTCTGCGGGATTGGTTTTTTTGACAGTTGTTGGATTAACATGGGCAGGTAAAGCTCTCTTGCTTTCTTGCATCCCTTAATTTTATTTTTCTACAATCCGTTTTATCTCCCTTTTCGACCTAATTTTATTCTTCTAGCCAGTCAATTTAATTCTCTCATTTGTTCATATTGCCACTAACACTTCTCCTCAACCACCTCCTCTCCGTAACAGTTTTGTACAGAGGATGGGTTTTAATCTAGTTCTAGTGATCTCATAATTCATTAACTTTGAAAAAAGAAAATCATTCAAAATAACTAATTTGAAAGTGATCCCATAAATTGTAAGATTATGAGGACCTTGCTTATGTGCAAAACGCTTGGGAAAGGTATGAATTGATCACCTACCCTCCAGCTATGGGTTAAGTAGTAGGTCTTTTATCTAGAAAAATCATTATTCTTAAAAAAAATTAATATTCACTCACAAAAGAAGGAAAAAAACAATTCCTCCCAATACCAAAAATGTTTTGGCTTTAAATAAACCCTAAAGAGTTGATAAGCTGTTAAAAAAAAAAAAATCAATTACTAATGTATCTTAATAAAAAAAAAAAAAGAAAATATGGGGATGCTCAGCCCCCAAAGTGTGGTATTAGTAGTGTGGTATTTTCCTAAATTTAGATATTTTGTAACGAACCAAAAAAACAATGAAGTTTTTTTTTTTTTTTTTTTTAAGATGGAATAAAAAATTATTTTTCATAAGATGGCTGAAAAATATCAATAAATTGTCAATAATAAGCTATTATTCAGAAGTCTTCCCAGCTAGTAATGTTATTATTATTATATATATATATATATATATATATATATATATATATATATATATATATACACACACACACACGAAGTATTTTATGTGTAAGGTTTTACTTATTTGGAATTGATTAAATAGATTTGTGATACTTTTTGTCGTAACTTTTTTGTTCATATTTGAAAAGGGACTTGTCTATACCTTTTGTATTCACTCCATAAAAGTATACAAGAATGTAATCTTCCTGTTGTGGAAAGGAACACACACCTTCTCCAGAAGAGGATTTGGATTTGTCCAAATACAAATAGACTGACACCGAGAATCATCAACAGGAGTAAACAAATAGTTAGAGATCCAGCTTATTTAATTCAGCAAGTCCACGTTGACTCCAAGTGATATACTACTTGATTGTGTTATCTTCATTCAATGAAATAAAGACATAACACTTTAATATTAAAGATTTTTAGGCAACTGGTACATTTTTGCTTATGTTTAAGTTATTATTGATATTCTGTTTTAGTAAAAGGAGTACCAGTTGGGTTTTCTTTTTTTTCTAAATATTTAGAAAATCCAACAGAATTTTACTGCAAAGACAAATTTGTTAGTCTTATTCTTTCCACTATTTGTGTGACTTAGATTTTTATTTTTTTTTTTTTATTTTTCCATCTTGTACAGGTTTTATTGCTCCCTGGAGTGGAAGGTTCTATTCCTTATGGGACACTGGCTATGCCAAAATCCACATTCCTATAATTGCCTCTGTATCAGAGCATCAACCAACAACTTGGGTTTCTTTTTTCTTCGATCTTCATATTTTGGTTTGTGCTTTCCCAGCTGGTGTTTGGTTTTGTATACGCAACGTGAATGATGAGAGAGTGTTTGGTAAGTGGCAATTAACCAAGTGTCATTTTATTTCATTTTAGAAGCTGCTGAACTCTTAACTCAACCAAACAAAAGAAAATCAAATTTAAAAATGTCTTTTGCATAACCTCATAAGTTATCTTCCAAATATGAATTCTCTAATGAAAAATAAGGTTTTGTATAGAATTGTATTTTTAAATATTGGCAGCTTTGTAATATATATATATATATATATATATATATATATATATATATATATATATATATATATATATATATATATGTGTATACAAATACACACACACACACAGAAACAAAAAGTTTATAAGCACAATGCTATATATATTTATTCTGGCTACTTATGACCACAGATATTGTGTGAGTATATAAAACTTCAATTTATATTGTTTGTTTTTTGTTCAAAATATAATTGAATTATTTTGTTTCTTTTCTCCAGCCGTTCTCTATGCTATCAGTGCCAGTTATTTTGCTGGTGTGATGGTTCGTCTAATGCTTACTCTGACTCCTATTGTTTGCGTACTAGCAGCTATTGCCTTCTCTAAAACTTTTGAAGTATATTCCAAAGATGACAGTGTGAAATCTAAACAAAAGGAACATTCTCAAGAAACTAAAAATGACCGACTTTATGATCAAGTAAGTAACTTTTTTTTCTTTTTCTTTTTTTTTCTGGAATAACGATACATAAATTTTTTATGTTTCATATGTAGTTTCCTTTTCTTTTTGCTTGTTTCCATCACTTTTGTTATTAAATATCCCACATTTTTTTTTTTTTTTTTTTTTTTAACTGAAATTATAATTGCCACAAGGAGTACATTGGAGAAACCTCAAGGAATTTAAATAAAACATTATATGAACACTAAAGTGATCTTTTACAAAACAAATCATCAAACATCTTGGTTGCTCACTGTAATGAGACTCACCACAATTTTTTTTTTTTTTTTTTTTTTTTTATGCAACTGTACTTAAGATATTTACTAAAATGTTTAGAAAATGCTTTAATTGCTGGATCATCCACAGTAACTTTGCATCCAGGTTCTTGGGTTTCACCATTCCTAGCAGATCTATTATCACAATGTGGGAAATTTAATAACATAAATAAAAAGTAAAAGAATCTTAATGAAATCAGTTAGACTATATACCTGAATGCATACTAAAAAAAAAATTTATTTTTAAATTTAAAATTCTCAGTGTGCCTGTTCGTGCACATGTGTAATCACATCAGTGTAAACTTAATCTGATGAAGTCCAAAGGGACAAAACGCATCACACAAAAACTTTTTAATTTTGTTTAATTTTTTTATAATTTTACCAACCAATCCAATAAACAATATAATAAGTAGCATTTAATATTTTTGCTGTATGTTCAATAAAGAAAATGAATAAATTCACTTTCATGTTTAGGTTTTATTAAAATTCTAATTGTTGCTTTTTAAAATGAACTTTCCTGAGGAGTGAAGTTAGTTAAAATAACATTGGTGTCAAGGGAAAAAACTGTTTGTTTTTTGGTTGTTTTTTTTTTTCTGGGATGAAGGCCCAAGATGGCCAAAATGTTAAATTTATCTCAAAGGATATAAAACTGCCTAAATTTTAGTCTTTGTAAAGATTTTGATTCTGAATTTATCAGGTGTAGAATTTCTGGACCTCTGAGAAAAAATGTATTTTTACTTGGAATCAAATATTTTCCTCTCTATACATGAATAACAATGAGCCTCGTTCAACCTGATCTTTTTAACACCATCAGTCTTATTTGTCTTAATTAATTGACTCTTTCACAATGCCAAGTTTTGATTACTTGAGAAACTGCTGAGAAAATATTTCTAGAAATATACTGGCGTTACGAAAGAAAATGTCTATATTATAGGAGTTGTTAGCACGCATTGTAATTTACTTAGAGTATTAAAGTTTTCTTTACATAATCAAAAGTAACTTGTAAATTTCAATAAATATATTCCAAATAGTTCTAAAGGTTATCTTTCAAAATTCTTGTTGCAACTGCTGAATATCAAAATTGTTAAACATTTTTCATATTTTCTAAGAACATGCTTGTAACATTTGTATATTGTGTCTTTCTTTCAAGGTCGGTAAACCCAAAAAGGTGAATGATAAGCCCAAAGAACAGGGTTTAGGCACCAATATTAAGAGTACAATCAACATAGCTGTAGTGATGATGTTGATGCTGTTTGCTGTCCATTGTACATGGGTTACAAGTAGTGCATACTCAAGCCCTAGTATAGTTTTGGCATCTTATAATCATGATGGGTAAGGATCTTTTTTTTTTTTTTTTTCTTTCTCTTCAACAGCTTTGATCCAGTCTAATCACAATTAAAAATTTGTTTTGTCTCTCAACTGCAGTTTCGTATAAATTCCAATACACGATGATATTTGGTCGCAAGGAACTGCAACAAAGTTGGTTAGATGTTTACAATGAAGAGTTTTCATTTGTTGTTGCTAAAAAATGAGTCACTTCAAAAGTGATGCCTTCTAATTGGAATAAAATCTAAGCATATGATGGAAGATGAATTTATACATCTTTCTTTTTGTTCTTGAAATTAAACAACAAAAATATTTAAACACTATTCAATGAATACATGAATAATTTTATATTTACATTCTAAAAACTAATACAATTAGAACTAATGCAATGCAATATTTATCATTTGCCAATTTATAAAGAAATATGAAAACAATTTTTTATTTATATATTCATAAACATTTAGTAAATTATTAAAATGTGAACCAACTCTAAGGAAATCTTTATTTACCATTTCATAAAGTTTGAATTGATTTGCAATTAGGCACTGTTTTGCCAACCATTCCAATAAATAGTGTTTAATATTTTTGTTGTCAATTCTCAAGAACAAAGAAAATGTTCACTTTCTTCATGTTTAAGTTTTATTACAATTCTAATCATCGCTTTTTAAGACAATGCTAAAGTGTGAAGGTAGTTAAAAAGAAAAAAGAAGTGTCATTTAACATTCTTTTGATCCTGTGTTTTGTGGGCATGTTTGTCCATGTTTTCTGACAGAAAATTGTTTAGTGACTACTAAAAGTTTACTAGTTTTGTTCATTAGAAATTTAAGTTCGCTACATTCTTTATAGCTTCAAGCAATATAGGCATCGAAAGGATTTTGATGTAATCTTTCTTCTTTCAGGAGTCGTACAATTTTGGATGATTTCCGTGAAGCTTACTTTTGGTTGCGTCAAAATACTCACGATAAAGCTCGTGTGATGTCCTGGTGGGACTATGGCTACCAGATAGCGGGAATGGGTAATCGAACAACGTTAGTGGATAATAATACTTGGAATAATAGTCATATAGCTTTGGTAAGTATAAATGCTTGGTTTTAATCTTGATTCTCAATATTGTTATACTTGCCTTTTTGCTGTTGATAACATTGGTCTTTTGAAATATGTCGTTATGCTTTTGTAAATTCCTACGATGGATTAGGATCAAATATGAACCAGGATTTGACAGAATGATAGAATAGGGAACAAATAGGAAACGTTTATGGATCTATTCGCTTTTATTAAAGCTTTATCAGATTGAGATATATATATATATATATATATATGAGAGAGAGGGACAAGAAAAAAATATTCTGATATTTTTATTTTTTGTTTGTTTTTAATTTTTCTCCATATCTCATTTTCTGATGAAGCTTTAATAAAATCGAAACCTATTAGATTTATAAACATTTTCTATTTGTTCTTTATCCAATTATACTCACTCTTCTAATTTACATTAATCATTTGTCTCAATTGGTGTGTGACTTTTCAAATAAATCAAATATTGAGGAAATGTCAGGGAACAAGATATGTTTTAAGTTTTAACCAATGCTTTACTTGATGATATCATCTCTTGAAAAAAAAAAACAAACATCTGTGTGTTGTTTTTTCCTGAGCATCTCTTTGACAACTTGACAAAGTGGGCTGATATTTACCAAGTGTGACACACCATGAGATCCAAATTTGCTACACTAGCAACAATTTATTAGATATGGCTTGTTAAACATCACTCAAGATATCCTTGACACCCCTCCCTTCAAAAAAAGGAGGCAGGGCAGCTTAATCCATTGGAAAATTCGTAACTGATATTTTTAGCAATGCTACATAGTAATAGTGTTGTTTTTTTATTTTAATTCTTTTAATTTAGGTTTTCTCTATAAAAAGACTTGCTGTTGTATCATTTAATAGAACGTTTAACAGAATCGGAGTAAAAAAAAAAAATGTTGAACATCAATGTTTTACTTGATATAATTAAAAACAAAATTAAAAGTGCAGTTAGTGAATTTTTAAAAAGTTTTAATTTATTTTGTGCTTTACTTCGTAAGAGGAAATAAAGTTTTCTTATTCTCTGATTACATTGTTGAATGTTATGTTCATTCAATTATATTGCTGACAGAATTGAAACTGATTAATTTGAAAACTAATTTATAATTGAACTCTTCACTCTTCTAAGTAGAAAGTTTATTATAACACTGTCGTCATGTTTATTTCAGGTTGGTAAGGCAATGTCCTCTAATGAGAGTGCAGCCTATGATATCATGCGGTCACTTGATGTTGACTATGTCTTGGTCATTTTTGGTGGTGTGATTGGGTATTCTGGTGATGATATTAATAAGTTTTTATGGATGGTACGAATTGCTGAAGGTGAACATCCCAAAGATATTCGGGTAAGATTACCTTCTTTGCTTTTCAGTTGACTTTTTATTCCTCTGAAAAATAAAAAGAATTTCTTTCTAGTTTAACTTAACATACAAGTGTCAAGTGCTTGTTTGTCTTTGCCACTGACATTTTCTAGTAGAGTTTTAAACACAATCAACCTTGCTCATAAATTAAAAATATAAATTTAATTATTTATAGTTTTAAACGTTTTTTTAATCACTTGAAATATTTGACATTAACAGAAGCTTTTGTGATGAAAATAAATCTTGAAATACATGGTAATGTTGAATCTTTGTGCCAACCTAAAAAAAAACAAATGTCTAAAGGACAGTCATTCTCTTGACACAGCTATTACTGTATACTCTTTTGACTCCCTTGGCAATATTTATTCACAAGTTTATAAAAATATGAACCAACTACAATGCAATATTTATTATTTACCATTTTATTAAGAAATAAATTTAAAATCTTTTTATTTGAAACTAGTAGTAGCACCCGGCGTTGCCCGGGGATGTAACAGTAAGAGATAGATCAAGTATCGACCATCATAAAGACTGAAAAATAAAATTGACAAAGATTATTGTTTAAGGTTGACGAACATGCATGTCTTAATTAGTTTTTTTTTTTTTTTTTTTTTTTTAAAATTGGTCAAACTCAAACAAGAACATTATTTTCAATCGTTATGAGTCTATCGATTGAATAGAATTTTATTATAAACAATTGTCTTGTAAATGGAATTTTTAAAGCATTCTGAATGTAAAAATAAAGAAAAAAGTGTGTTGAAATCTGTTGAAAAATGTAGGAAATCCGATCCCATATATAAACGAACACACACACACACACACAACCTGGGTTTTATAATAAGTATAACTCGATATGAGTTGTCCCCCCTTTCATTCTGGCGACAGTGATGCCTCTTAATCGTGTTTTCAATTGTTTCTCCAATTTTTGGCGCTGTCAGAACCACCGCAAGCTAATTTTACGCAGTCCCGTGAAGTTTTGTTGAAATCGGTTGAAAAATGTAGGAAATCCGATCCAATATATAAACGTACAGACACACACACACACACACAATCTGCGTTTTATAATAAGTAAGATTTATAAAAAAAAAAAAAAAAAATTACAAAATTATTAAAATATGCAAACCAACTACAATGCAATATTTATTATTTACCATTTTATAAATAACCATGAAAACCTGTTTTTTATTCAATCTAATAGTGTTTAACATCTTTATTGTCAATTCTCAAGAACAAAGAAAATGTATAAATCCATTTTCATGTGTTTGGGTTTTATTAAAATTCTAACCATTGCTTTTTAACAACAATAAACATTGTTGAGGGAGTTAAAATTGCATACAGTAATAGCAGTGTCAAGGAAATGACTGTTTTCTTGTGGGAAGAGAGGTTAAATCTTGCCAAATATATATTTTCTGGAGTTCATTGACAGGTGATCTTTCTTTTGAAAAATATTTGTGTATTTCTGACTAAAGTAGATTGAGATATGGCTAATAAGCACTTAAAAAAAAACCCAGTCATATTGTAATTGCTGTTTGCGTTCATTCTGGTAATGCCACATAAAGTCTTGAATTAAGATAGATTTTTTTGTAACTAATAAACAATTTAATTTTGTCAAATCAACTTGTGGGGGAAGAAAAGATCGAGGAAAAAAAAAAAAAAAAATGAAGCCAACATGAAATGACTCCACTGGAAGAAACCAAAATGTTAACCAGTGAAAGTTGTGGGTAAAACTATACAAGAATTTTCAAGAGATTAACAAGCATTTATTGACAATTTGTGCATCACAGAAATATGGAAAGTGGTATGATTATCTTAATTGGAGAATGAAAATCTGTCCATCAAATTGAAAATTTCTTTGCACATTACTTAAAAAGAACCCAAACTGTTTATTACAGGAATCGGACTATTTCACTCCTCAAGGAGAGTATAGGGTGGATGCTGCTGGCTCATCCACCCTCCTCAATTGTTTAATGTATAAACTATCTTACTACAGATTTGGACAGCTACAAGTAAGTTACAGTTTTCCTTATTTTTTGGGGTGGGGGGCAATCCCTTTTGCTTGAAAAATTGAATAAGTGTATTTTTTTTCTAGACATACAATGTAAAAACTGTTATCCTATTTCATTTTTTTTCTTTTTGAATTTTATTTCATCTTATATTTCACTGAATATTTACTTAAAAGTTAAAAAAAAAAACCCCCACATATCCAGTTAATAGGCTAGCCAAAAGCACACTGATATATAGAACATTTGAACAGTTTTTACACACTTTATGTCCAGAAAAGCAAACACTTTGATTTTCTTGAGTCTGTATAAAAAGCTCAATTGTGGTACCTTGTCAGTCTTGTTTTAATGAACCGTGTGTGTGTAAACTGAAATAGCAATAGTCTGTAATATTTCTAGTAAACTTGGCATTTAAATTTTAAAAGATTTAATGTCATTTGTTATCTACTGTCTTACTGATTATTCTTCTGTTGCTTTTGCCCCTCATTAATGTTTCTGCTTTCTAATTCTTCCACACCAAGTAACCACTTGTGTCTTAGTGGCTTTACTGCCTTGTTTATGGTAAATCCAATTAAAAAAAAAAGGGAAATTGTTTTGGCTTTTATTTGCCATGTATATTATCAATATATGTGTTTTCATTGTTACCAAAAGAAAAAAAAAATGAAATGAATGATATTTATCTCTATTATTATTATTATTTTCTTTTCAGCTTGATTTTAGAAATCCCCCTGGGTATGACCGTACCCGAGGAGTTGAGATAGGAAATAAGGACTTTGATCTCACTCATCTAGAAGAGGCGTATACAACTGAGCATTGGTTAGTGAGAATCTATAAAGTAAAAGACCTTGACAATCGTCAAAAAGTTAAAGCTAGACGACCAATCAAGAAAACTATGAAGAGACACACATCAAAGACAGTAAGTAAAGTTTTTATTTTGATATATCTATAATTCTACACCTAGAAGGTTAGTCAAAATTTATTTAAAAAGAAAAATTGTACATTTTCATCTTCTTAAAGGTCTGCATATGAAGCATTCTGATTTACTTGTATTTTATAAGAGTAATTTTTAAAATAATACTTTTATAGTAATGCATGCATTTGAGGTTTTTATTTTTTAATTTAGGTTTTCTCTATGAAAAGATTTGCTGTTGTGCATCTTTTAAGTGAACAACTGAATCAGTAAAAGAAATGTTGAACATTAATGTTTTACTAGATTCAATTAAAGGCAAAAACAGATGCAGTTATTAAAATTTTTTAAGTTTTAATTTATTTTGTGTTTACTCTGTAAAATATTACCATTTAAATATTTCTATTATAATTTTTTTCAATTTTAGGATTATCTTTCTAAATTTTCCATCCTATTTTATACAGAATCTAACTACAAAATATCAATACATTTATCTGACAGGCTTTGGACTGATTCTTGAATCCTTTTTTTCTTTCTCCTCTCTCTCTACCAAGGCCTAATATTAAAAATACAAATAACAAAAAGTCAAGAATGAAATCATTGAAAATTAATTTCACTTTGAGAACACAGTCTCTTCTTAAAATTATTAGAATATTGAGTATATAACCAAAAGCAAAAAAAAAAAAAAAAAAAATTAAACTACTTTTATGTACAAATTAATCCACTTCATGTGGTATGAAGTTTATTTTATTTTTATTTTTTTAATACTTTATTGGCTAAGAAAATGGCTTCCATACAATACTGATAGTATGCATGCACACATATATATATATAAAATCAGTTTTAAACTTTCCAATTCCAGGCTCTTTGCCTTCATCCGACTTGAGACAAAAACAAAACATTTAAGTTCTTTAGATTTATCATTTTAAAATGTCATTACATTTCAGTTCAGATGGATATTTTATTCAAATGTCTTAAAACTATAACTGCTTTGTTCTTAAGATAATTTATATTCCACTTTTCTTTAGCAAATTGACCTTTTCATAATCAATAAAGCCTTATTGTGATGTTGATTGTGGTAAAGTACAGTGGTTTCCCTACAAAATGGCATGCAGCAAATACGTTTTCTTTACTAGGATTTCTCGAATGTGCAGGATGATAGACGTCATGCACACAGTTTAGTAAATTAAAAATAGGGCGTCTTTCAAATACGAACTGTCCAACATAATAAGGTTAGAAGTTTTGAAAAAATAAATTCTAGACGCTCAGTGTTCAGTCCAACTCGTATTATGCAATAGTGAACATAAGTTAACTAATTTTGTAGTTATCTCCCTTGTAATATTTTTCCATTTATTTTTCGAAACAATTTTTAAGGAGAAAATCTCTCATCATCAAGTATACACACACACACACACACACACACACACACACACACACACACACACACATATATATGATTTTTTTTAAGCATACTTATTAATTTACCACATTCAAAATATGTTTAATTTTCTTTACATGAAACAAAGGAAAGCTGCATATATAAAAACAAAACAATTCTATTTGTTTAATCCCGTCATCGTTTTTGACAACTTATTCATTTTGTATTCAAATATTACTATCAAATGCATGCCTATAAATAAGTTTTGAACACCACAATTACAATGACAAAAGCATCAATAGTTAATAGAATGCTTTTGGAATAATATAGTTTGGCAGGGTTTTATTATGTAAGGGAGCAAAGTTTTAATTTTGTCGTGTATTTACAGTAGGTCATTATTATCTGCAGAATCACAAACTATGATTTCATTTATCTTTTGGTCGGCCCAATCAGCAAAACTTTCATATTCAAAAATTCTATCAAGCAAAACTACTTTGCAAAAATATTTCAAATTAGCAAAATATAAGCAGCATAATAAAAACCAAAAGTGTATTGTAAAAACTCCTTGGACATACTTCGCATAATAATTTGGTAAATCCAAGGCGTATATTTCTTGCTATTAGATGAGATTTCACTATCTGCATAATTTTTCATTTTCTCAAATACTCTTTAACTTGTTGCCTTCTCATTTTACTCATTTGACTTTTCTGTTTTTTTTTTTTTTTTCACCAGGCCAAAAGAAAACAAGGTCGTATCAAGGATAAACCAAAAATTAAGAAAGGTATTAAAAAAGGCAAGAAGTTGAAATGAGGATCTTTCTTGCTACAAATATAAAATTGCCCCTATCAAAACTTGGTCTGTGCTTCACATGGCACTAGACTCTCCCCTACCCCACCCCCATGCTATGGGTCAAGCTCAGAAGACAGCCAGTGTCAGTATTTGAAGCCATTTCATAAGCGGACCACTTTTCTTCTTTTTATTTTATCCTCACCTTTCCTTGCTTTTTCTTCAGTCTTTTTTCCTTTTTCTCTTCTGATAGTTTTTTTTTTTTTTTTTTTTTTTTTTTACATCCAGACAAAAGGCACTGTTCATTTTGTTTTTGTTTTCTCTCCAAGTTGAAAGTGAGTATCACAAACATTTAAGGAGAAAATGATTTTCTAACAGCAACTTGATCCCCACCACCGCCACCCCATTTTTTTTTTTTTTTTTTTTTTTTTTTTTTTTTTTTAAATTTATTTGGCCTTAAGTTTTGAGACCACTTGGACATTTAGTTTTGCTCTCAATGCCCATCTCTTGCTTTTTTTTTTTTTTTTTACATAAGGCAGTATTGGGCTTGACTTAAGAGTTAAAAGGCAGCCTTCATTCCATGCTGGGACAGACATTTGAGACATAAATTTTGAAAAAAAAAAAAAAAAAAAAAGTGAGAAAACCTACTAAAAAAATTTGTCTACATTAACATCCCAAATAATTAAAGTGCTAACTCTTCAATGCAAATACTTCTGTTATTTAGGTAAAAACAGAACCAAAACAAATTAGTCTTTCTAAAGTGGTCATTTCAGAACTGATGGCTGAAAATTTCAAATACTGAAGAGCTATTTCCTAATTTTTATTTTGAATTTTTTTTTTTTTTGTTTCCAAATGTTATTTGTATGAATAAATAAGAGTTGTAGAAATTTTTATTTATTTTTCTTATTTTTTATTTTATTCCCAATATTGCAAATAATTTTGGAATGCCATTGGACCACGAAGAATTCATGCTTCCTCGTTTCTTCAATACAAACTCAAGTAAACCATTGGTAAGGGGGTGGAGGAAGCAATGATTTTTTTTTTTTTTTTTTATACAAATAAATTGAATTCCTCTTAGTAATTAAGAAAAAAAAAAACTGAAACATCTTGTTTACTGCATCTATGAATCCTGAGTAATTCTCTGGTAAAAATTATTTGACATTTTACTAACTGAAGTCTTTCAAAGAGATCTGTTCCAGAAAATGGATATTGCTCTCTCTTTTGGATTTCTTCAAATAAAATGTGAATATTAATTTGTTCTTTTGTAATTAACTGGTTTAAATTTTGTAAGAAGATTAGCAAATCTGAACCTTCATGGCTGGGGAAAAAAAGTGTTAGAAGGACCATTTTTTTTCTCCTTGACATCACTATTATAAAGCAATGATTAGAATTGTCATAAAACCTAAATATGATGAAATTGAATTTGAACAATGCCTAGCAGTATAGATAGTTAAAATAATAGTGGTGTTAAGGGTGAAAAAAAAACTGCCATTTTTGGCACTTTTTTTTTTTTTTTTTTTTTTTTTTTCAGGCATGATGATCTAAATTTGCTAGAACATTGTTTTGAGAGTTGATAAAATGCTTTCAGAAATGCTAAATAAGTGGCACTCTTTTGTAAGCTCATCTCAATGTGGAACTTGGATTGAAATTATTCTGAGACCAAACTGTAAAATATGAATCAAGATAATTTTTCTTGTCTACTTTCCAATGAGGCAAATTGCAACATTTTTTAGTTTTATTTTTTTTAATTCTACATAAAATTGTAAATCTAACATTGTTAATCAAAGTTATGACTTGAAAACAAGAACATCATTTTAAATTTATTTTTAAGTAAATTCTAATGATTTTTTTTTTTTGTTTTAAAATGCCTCTTGTTTATAGCTCTTCATAATTTTATTTAAAATTGAATCTAAATGACCATCTGAATGAGTTTGTCATATATTATTCAATGAAAATTTGCAGATGCATTCTTCCACGTTTTTGAGTATACAGGTTAACAATCCCATATCCAAACATCTGAAAACCAAATGTTTTTAGTGTGGAATTTGATGTTTGCCACTTGCGTATGATGTGGCAACAGGTGTCATGTTCAGCTCAATTCGCCCCCCCCCCACTTCCCCTGTCTGGCTAAGCATCATGAACCTGCCAAACATCACTTGTTGTCAAAGCACTCATTAGGGAGATTTTTGTTTTTTTTCCCCCTGTTGTAATTATTGTGACATACAGTGAAAATATAAAAAAATAAAAAAAATTAAAAACAAAAACTGCAAATATTTTTAGTTTATCATTTCATACTGTTCATTTAAATTCTACAAGTCATTTTTTGTCTGAAATAAATAAACTTTATCCATTACTTATGGTCTTAATTATCCCTCTATTTCATTTATCAGTATATTATTCTATAAATAAACTGTAAGAATATTTGTAGTCTTTCACCACACCCCCTTGTGGTGTGAGTATTCATAGATTTTTGCTGCAATATTGTTTGCATTTCTGAAAAATAAAAAAAATCAGTTAATGAAACACAACTGGCCCCAAAGATTTTAAGATATGGGATTGTGTACCTGTATTTTTCATCTATATGAAATTTAAAGAATTCTCAAATTGTCTTTTGTTTCTGTTGTTTTGCAACATGTTGCTTTGTTCAGAAGGAATGTTTTTCAGATTTCGTATTAAAATCTGAATTGGCAGGTACAGAATACTCTGTGTTGGTTTATTTCGTCTAAGAATAAAATAGTTTTGGTGAGTTTTTGTGATTGCTTTCAAATTTTTGTATCATCTAGCTACTCTTTAAATTTTTGTAACCATCTTGGGTGTGAAGCAAACAACCTTTATGTTGATCATCTCATACACGCTTCTTAAGGGTTGTACAATAGTGCTTCTGATGGGAGAAAGAAACAAAAATAAGAAGAAAAGAATGAATAATTACAAAAGAGCAACTTTACATATGATCAAGAAGTATATTTCAGTAAACCCATTCTCAGTTTGAGTAGAGAGACTGTATGTATATATGCACATGCAGGTTGTGATGGGTAAGTTGTTGTCATTTTATATCTTTAATTTCATGCACATTTGTTTTTTTGATGTTTGTCAACTGCACAGTATAGTAGAGATAGTTGGGCACCATCTGTGAGAAAAAGAGCCCCATGACACAATTCACTTCACCAGAAATTTGGGAATAGAATGCTGTACTGCTTGGCATTCGCACCAGAAGCTCCAATACAAACATTTAAGAGTTGGTTTTGGTCTGAAGACTGTGTAGAGGATGGATTCAAAAAGGGTTGGATGAGTCTAATAGTGATTACAAAGGTATGACAGCTCAGAAAAGTCGTTCTGATAAAAAAAAATCCTCCTGAATTTGTTGGTGAAGGTTCCAGACTAAACACAGAGGCCTACATCAAGTGCCTTGAGGAGGTAGTGCTGCCCTGGGTCCTTATGTCTGGCAACAGGACTCTGCACCATGCCACATGAGTAGGAGAACCTAATCATGGCTGTTAGACAATTTCTGCAACCATATCGCCCCTTACATCTGGTCATTTAACTCTCCAGACTGCAACCTCTTTGATTATTATGTGTGGGGTGCAGTTGGGTGAGAAACCAACAAAACTCTCTGTAATACTAAAGATGAACTGAAGGCAAGGATTATGGCAGCATTCACCAAACAAGAAGACTGTTCAAAAGAGTTGCAGGAGATTCCGAAGTTGTCTGGAGACCATGGTTGAAGTCGAAAGTGATTTTATTGAATAAATTTACTCTTTAGTATTTCAAGATTTTTTTGTTTAATTTTGGTAAATATATCTTAAAATGAGATGTCAGCATTATTTTCATATTTGCATAATTTATACAATTTATCCATAGCACCCTCTCTGTGTCTGTATGTGAGAGAGATATAATATATATGTATATTTCACACACAAAAGTTTTTTCACAGCTGATTAATACTATCTTCAGCATCCCAACTCCGGAATTTTGTAAATGGTCCCTTTAGGGATTACTGTCTGCTCCTTGGGGGTGGGGGTTAACAATTGATTATTTATGGTTCTTGATTTTTCTTTTTTTATATGCACTTTTTATTGGTGCAAGTTTTTTCTTCATCGTCTGTGTGTGTGCCTATGCATAGATTTTTATTTATTAACCTTACAAATTTTGTTACTTAAACATAATAAAATATTTGATTAGATGCTCTGTTTATTGATTAAACAGTATATTTATTTATTTTCTTCTATCAGCTTAAATATATGAGAAATCTTGTTAGAAAAATATGCACTCTTTGGCAGAATTCAAACCTGCATTCCCCCCTGGCTGTAGAAATCTAAAGAACTTTAGATCCAACATGCTTTAAACTGACTCATCTATGGAGTACATCGATATTTAACTTTGGTTGATCGATGATGCACTCTTCATGCAGCTACAAGTGTTTCAAATTATTCCTTGGCTTATCCTTGTGCAAAAATACAAGGGGAGCGCTCTCTCTCTCTCTCAGTTTATCATCAACTGATAAATCCATCCCCAAGTTATGTTGCATTTTGCTTCTCATTTGAGACCGTGTGTGCAAGGCACCATTGAAGGTGGACGTAGGAGAGAATGCCAATGCAAAAACTAGTTGGGCAATGTCAAACAATAGACAAGTATAACTATACCAGAATTGCTGATAGCTGCCATTGATAGACCTTTGTGGAAGAGATTTAGTGTGGCTTCTGCATTTGGTTCCCCCCTACAATTAGGAGATGATAATGTGCAAAAACAACAGAAGATGAAATGAACAGCAAGAAATGAAGTATTCCAGTGAGGTTCCCAGTCCAACCTAGTATTCTCTCTAATGGTAGGTAAGTAGCACATAGGTCCTGTCAGGTCTTATTTTCTGCTGAATGACTGCTACCAATGTTACTGGTTGAACAGACAGCTATGCTCTGCCTGAAGTGGTACCCTGGAAGGATGCAAGCAGAAACATCTGGTTTCTGACATATGCCTTTGTTTCTAAGTATCCTTTTCATTCCTTAACCTCTGGTTTCCC